GGCTTTGACTCCAAATAGCACGGCAGGCTTGGCAAAGGCCCCCTTGACTACATCATGTCCTAGTGGGAGCCTGGCCTGGTCTGTCTTTGTGTCTGTGTAGTGTCTCTCTCTCTCTCTCTCTCTCTCTCTCTTCCTCCAAGCCACCAGGATTCAACCATGGGGCTCCACCCTAATGACTTGATATAATTTCATCACTTCCCAAAGGCCCCACCTCTAAACCTCATAGATTAAGTTTTCACTCTCTCCATACCATTAACACAAAACTTAGGACATTAAATTTCTGTGTGAGTTGCAGCAGGGTGTAGACGGAGACAAATTTTATCCAAATTTTAGCAACTTCACTCCTCTTATTTGATTTATCCTACCAGGCTAGAAAAATGTGACATGAGGGTTAACACTTCAGGAACCATGTTCCAAAAGCCCACAAGACTCTCTCTTCTACTTAACCACAGACTTCCACTATTTGCCTACTGAAAAGACAGAGAAGATATGAATTTCATAAGAACCATTTTGATGCTGTGAGATTTAGCATGAGAAGCTTCTAGATTAGTTTTTGGCTAAGGTTTGGGATCCACCCAGCCTGTCTCCCATAGATTCCCAAGGCAGACAGCTAAAAAGGACATAGGTCATGACATGACATGAATGGAGGGGCAGCATATTAGCCTCCTCAAAGTATTAATACGGTGACATCGCATGGAAGGCCATTGGTACATTTCCCAATCTTCAAAGGCTGCAGTGATCTTGGTGGGTTGGCAACTGGGAGCTGTCTGCAATAACTTTTTTGAACATCTCAAAAGAACCATGCCTCCTACCAGGGCCACCCAAACCACCATCCATTTGAAAATGGAAAGAGCTATCTGCATCCTCAGCACTTGGGACATGGAAGTGCATGGTGGATCCAAGTCGTGGCATGGAGGAGCTTCTAGGCTGGCGAGGAAAGCGATCAATGTCCCTAGACAATGCCCTTGGGCGATGGGAGGAACATGGCCAAGGAGCCTAACTGAGTGGGATAAGGAAGGAGCACCAGGAGATCTCTTTGGAGAAATACACTTTTTCTTTGTGGCTGGAAGTATGGGTGAGATTCATCCAGCACAGAGCAAGGAGTGTGTTCCAGGAAGTATGTTCTGAGAGAGAACCACAGGGGTGAAGCCCCAGTAACTGCAGAGCTGGGTCATTCAAAAACCAGAAAAGGATCCAGTGGGGGTGGGGATGGACTGCAGGTGTGGGGCTGTGATGTGGGAGTGGACCGTGGGCAGGGAGGCCTGGGTCAGGAGTGGGGGTGCTCTCCTGCTTCAGGGAGGGCCACTGAGAGCAGAGGCCTTTGGAAAGATCATGGGGCTCCTGGTGGCTTGGGTGTGAAAAGTAGATTGAGGGGAAGGCGAAAGCCCGGCTAGGGGATGAAGTCAGAATGGCATAGGAGTCAGATCCTGGACTGAGAGATGAAATGTGTGCCCTGGGGGAACATTTTCATATAATCTCATGATGTTGAACATGGGGCTGGAGCAACAGGGGTGAAGAGCTGACAGGGTGAGGACAGAGGACACGCAATGCGAAGTTGTCTTCCTCTTGCTCCCTTAGTTTCTGTCTGCTTGCTTCTCTCTCTCTCTCTCTCTCTCTCCTCTTTTTCTCTTTCCTTCTTTTCTCCCTCCCCATCTCGCGTCTCTTTCTCTCTTCCCTCCCTTCCTTCCCTCTCTCCCTCCCTTCTTGCCTCCTTCCTCTCTGTCTCTCCCTTTCTCTTCCTCTCCTTTTCTCCCTCCCTCATGTATTCAAGTAAGCCTTAAAGAAAGGATATCTACTGCCACCCTTCCCCCACCTACGCTCTTGCTAAGTGCCCTTCATTATATTTGTATTTCTATTACTTTATCCACTGTCAGCTAACACATCTATAACTTTCTTAGCACTTTCTCTATGAAAATGCACGATTCATTCACTTACCTCAGGAACTTTCCTTTATGCTGAAAGAAACAAAAATGAGCAGAAACTTTCCGGGAGTCTAGGAAGATGTCCTTGCTTGTAGACTCTTATATAAATGTGCATGGGAATTGGAAGTCTTAAGTTCCGTATATAAAGTAAACAGCAGGAGCTAATTGATACGACCTCTGTGGAGTGTGTTCAGATCACCTTGACACCCAACACATTAGCTTTATCTGCTTCACGATATTTATTTTCTGCCCCTTGTAGTTTCTCTGTCCAGTCATGTCCAAGCATAACGTAGGCAAAGAGCACTGTGGCTATCCTATAATGCATCACTGGGATGTACATTTTAAAGAATTCTAAGCACACCTATACCGCAGCTACTCTGGAGGCTAGGGCAGGAGGACCACAGTTTCCAGTCTGGGCAACTTAGCAAGATCCTATCTCAAAATAAAACTTAACAAGGGCAGGGAATGTCGCTCAGTGCTAGAATGCTTTCCTAGCATGTGTGAGGCCCTGGACTCAATCCCCAGGCCTACAGATTTTTTAAAAATTAAAGAATTCAAATATTAGTAATAATGATAGTAATGGGTTTTGTTAGGTTTTGTTATGGTGACTTCATTACCAATTTGAAAAATGCATTCACACAGGTTTTTTGAGAACAAACATTGCAGCAGAGCCAGGCCCAAACATTGAATGCACTTGTATGACCCTGAGACTGAGGTCAAGTTTTGTTGTAAAAAATACAAATATCATAAAATTTATCATTTTCACCATTTTAAGTGAGTAGTTCACTGGCATTAAGTACATTCATACTGTTGTACAACTGTCACGGCCATCCATCCCCAGAAGTTTTCCTTTCTCCCAAACAGAAACCCTGAACCCATTAACCCTAACTCCCCATCCCCCCATTATGGTTTGTATCTGGATATCTCCTCAAAGCCTCATGCGCTCTTAGGCAAGGCTTTTGAAAGGTGATTGAATTATGAGGCGCTATAGCTAAATGTGAAGTTAGGAGTTAGGGCTTGGTGGAAAGAGGCAGGTCCCTGGAGGCATGACCCAGAAGTAAATCTCCCTCCCATCCTCTCCCTTCTCTCTCTGCTTCCTGGATACCATCAGGGGAACAACTTTTCTACACTATGCCCCTCTGCCATGCTGTTTCTTCTTTGGAGCTACCTGACCATGGACTGAAATGTGAGCCAAAGAAACCTCTCCTTTAAGTTGTGGGTATTTTGTTAGAGTGACACCCCCTCTCCCCAACCCTTTACAGTCACCATTGTACTTTCTGTCTCTCTGAAGCTGACACTAGTGGTTCCTCATATAAGTGGAATTATATAGTATGTGTTCTGTGACTGGCTTATTTCACTTAGCATAATTTCTTCAAGGTTCATCCAAGTGATAGCATTGCCAGAATGTTTTTCTTTTTTAATGTTTGTGTATATACCACATTTTATTTATCCAGTCATCCCACAGTGGACACTGGGGTTGCTTCCACCTTTTGGCTAATATCAACAAAGCTGCTATGAACATGGATGTGCAAATATATCCTTGAGTCCCTGCTTTTGATCCTTTGGGTGCATACCCTGAAGTGGAATTGCTGGATTGTATGATGATTCTATTTGAAGTTTTTGAGGAACTTCCATGAGTTTTCCATAGTTTTTGTACCATTTTACATTCTTACCAACACTGCATGAGGAGTTCCATTTCTCCACATCCTCACCAACACTTGTTATTTACCGTTTTACAAAACTGGAACCATCTTAGTGCATGTAAGTGATATGGTATCTCACTGTGGTTTTGCTTGCATTATCCCAGTTACTAGTGGTGTCAAAGGTCTTCTGACTCATTTCTTGGCCATTTGTATATCTTCTCTGTAGAATGTCTAGGCAGGTTCTTTATCTGTTTTTAATGGAGTTGCTTAGGGGTTTTTGTTAAGTTACGTGAGTAATTTTTATACACTGAATAACTCCTCATTAGATATGTGTTTTGCAAATATTTTCCCATCCCATGGATAGCCTTTGCTGTCTGTTGATTTGCTGCACAGAGATGAGCTCTTGTCTATGATTACAATGTGCCAAGCACTGTTCTACTAGCTTACATACAACATATGTATGCAGTCGGCACACATGAACTCCCTTAATTTTTACAACAGCCTTTCAAGCTATATGCTGCTTAGGGCCCCACTTTATAACAAATAGGTTGAATAAAGTGCAGGGGGTAACATAGCTAATATGTGCTCAAGCTAGGATTTAAATCACAGAAGCCTGGTTCTGTATTCTTGACCAATTATAAATGTAGCTGATGCAACATCTTTCCCGTATTTAATTTGTAAGTTATTTCAGACTTTGGCATCTTCCAGTGCAGTTGGTTTCCAGCAAACTGCATTTTTAGGCTCCACTCAGACATCACAGCTTCTCTCCTAGCATTTCTTTTCCTCCTCTTGGCTCACAGAAATGACTTACATTCTATTCTGTTGTGAGCAAGATCTGAGCCTCCCTCAAAGTCCATCTATCCCTATTTAACACTCAATCCATGATTGTATTCACGAGGTAATATCAGAGCCAACAGTTAAGCCCCACGTGTACTGTATTAGGGCAGTGGCATGCCATTGCTGCTCCTCCTACTCCAGCAGGACTTGAAGAATGGGTGGAAGACTGCTCCTTACTCTCAGGTATCAAAAAAATAAAAAATAAAAAGCCAACCTCACTTCTTTGGCCAGGAGCCAGCAAATGGATACCATCTAGCATCTAGCAGGTTCAGTGTCTTAGCAAGCCATATACTTCAGGGAGAGGAATAATTCATTCATATGCTCACGCACTGTCTTTGGCTAATGAAAAGTTGTGTATCTTCCATATGCTTTCAACAATACTGGATTTTCATGCATTAAGGGAAAAGGCCGCACCCACCCTGTGAAACAAGATGTCTTACTAAGTCAAGTAAATTTACCAGGGAAGGGCTCACGTCAGTAGATTTTTGGAACTAGTTCAGCTGTGGACACTCATTTCTCGTGGCTGCTTTTCACCTGTCTTGAAAATGGCTTGATGGCCTCTGCCACCCTAATCATTGTGACTTCCTTTTTTCTGCAGGATCCTATGGCTGCACTCTAAGACGGGTCAGTGGGTGTATCCCATGCTGGCAAGACTCAGCCCTGTGGGCCTCACAGCCTTTTTCTTTCTCAGCTACATCTCCGCTGCCAGCATCTACCTGCTTGGAGAAAGGCTCAACCACTGGAAATGGGGTCAGTGAGTCTTTCTGGTGCAGAGACACTTTCTTCTTACCCTCTCCCTACTCCTCCCGGGACCCAAAGGAAAAACTAGTTCAAACAGAAGGAAACGGATGCCATTGTCCAAAGGGCTCTGACAGGTCTCCCTGGAGTAGCAGAAGAAAAGCCTGAGCCAAGTTGGTGTTCAATCAAAGGAGTCCATTGAATTATCTCCCCTCCTCCCCCAAACAGCATCTCATTTAACTTGAAAGCTAAATCTGGTTTAGAAAACTCAGGATCTAGAGAAGAAGGTATTATTATCCCAAGCATTAAAAATACGTTTTTGTAGCCTCCCTCCACACAGGTGAGAGCTTGCAGGACACAAACTGTTAAAATGTTACGGCCTCCTTTTTGAAGGAAATGGATCCTGGTGACCTTCTTAGCTCTCCTAACCTCCACAGTACATTTCCAGATGAGTTCTTATCCCTCTTCCACTAGTTTGTTTCTCAACCTAAATAAAGCCTTCTGTGGATAAAATCACATGCTGTCCTTGAGACTGGGATTCTCATTTAGGCAGGGTCTTAGGACATGTCAGTGAGCTAAGCTTTCTAATTACAGGTGGGTAGAACCATGTTGCTTCTTCATCAGAAAAGAATAATCCTAATTTAGTTCATTTAAAAAGAGATGATATTATTTTCCGCTCTGCTTCCCCCCTTCTCACCTCCCCCCTCAACTATCCTTTTGTGAGAAAAGTAACTCCAGGTATCAGAAAGCTAGCTTGCAAAAATCCCATGGTTTGTTTTCCTACGTAGGAGATGCGCGGGAACTGCATCCTAATTTGTGCAGAAGAAAGGCAGAGTCACCTACGTTCCCCCACACCACTTGCTCACCTGCTTTTCTGTTCTATTAAAATGGAAATGGTGCCTTCTGCCTGTTAGGTGAGCAGTGTGAAGGGTAAGCCTATGCGTGTACATGGTCCGCCATTTCAGAGGGCTCAGTACCCCAGTGTGTGTTTCTGAGGAGAGGCTGCGACCCTGAGAAACAAGCCTGCAACCTGAATGTGCTTTCTGCTCTTAGAGAAGCTGGTAAAGAAAATTTCAAAGGCAATATCCTTTATGGAAGCAAACCCTTAAAGCATGAAACACGAAAAATCACTCTCGGAATTAAGATTTCAAATCACAGGAAATTAGACAGAAAAAAATATGTTAACATTTCAAATGTGTTGACATCAAATTCTAACTGCTTTTAGTTTCTTAAAATTCTGGGTAAAGGGCTGGGGATTTAGCTCAGTGGTTTCGTCACCTGCCACACAAGCTCAAGGACCCGAGTTCGATCCCTGGTACCAAAAAAAAAAAAAAAAAAAAAATTCTGGGTAAAGATTTCTGATGCCTTCCTCAAGTCTATATTGGAAAAAGAAAATCTATATAAGAAAGAAAATAAAGAAGGAAGGAAGGATGGAAGGAAGAAAGGGAAACCAAGAGAAAAGAAAGAAGAAATTAATTCATTTGAAATTTGGCAGCTAAAAGAAGCATAGAAAAAAACATGATTACTTAGAGTTTAGAGAGCAATAACTTTTTTAGAGAACAATAACTTCTTAAATCAATTCTGTTGAGTTCAAAATGATTAATTTTTAAACTGCTACTCTACAGTGAATTTTAAATATCTACTGAATTAAAAACTTTAAATTTCACCATATTTATTATACTTGGAATCACTATTTTCAACACAAAATTCTTCTTAATAAGCCTTGTTGTTTAGGTACTATATCCAGGTTTTCACTACAGTTGGGCTCAAATGAGTAAATAAGCCAGTGCCAGCATATGACCCCTCATTGACATCACTCACATGCAGAGGTTCATGTGAATGATAGAGACTATTGTCAATGACTATGGATTTTTAGTTTCTTGAAAAAAGAAAGGGTAAAAAGTCCTATATAGCATTAAAATAGGGTCACAAATGTGTTTTATCCTAAACAGATCTTTACTAATTGCAAATAGTTTAATAGGAATTAAAAGGAAGCCTAGATACCTCAAAATTGCAGTGGCAGCGAATGCTTTTAAATTGCTGAAAGTCAAATGGAGCAACCTGTGTGAATACATCTCCCCCGTGTCACCTCCTGCTTACAGGGCTTTAGGCCTCCTCCAGTTTACAGAAGAAGGTCCAAGCCCTTAGAATGACCTGGATTCTCTGTGACTGAGTCCTTGTCTTGATATTTGCTCATCTTCTTCTAAATCTGTACCCTTGCACCATCAGTTTGCTTGTTTCCCTCCACCTTGCTATTGTTTTTTACCTCCATCAACTTCTGTCCCTCTGATCTCCCAGCCTTCACCTGCCTCACCTATTCACTGGCTTTAACTCACCTCTTCCAGGGCACCTTTTCCCTGGTTGGCCCAGGTTGGACTCCATGTCCTTCCCAAGTGCTCTTGGATCCCCTCTTCCCATCACCAAGTGTATCATTTTATCATCACTGCTTTTCCACCACTGCTTTAGGGATTTTTTTTTTTTACATGAACACTTGGCTTTCTTATGGGTTAGGCATATGTCTTGTTCATCTTCAAAACCCATTTCCTCTGGCTTTCCCAATGTGTCTATCATGCCACTTCTCTCCAGGCATGAAGTGTGACTTTTTTCAAGAATATTCTGGAGATAGCAGACAAGGAGGAATTGGAAGAAAGTGGTGATGCGGTATGCTTGTTGGAGAGCTGTTGAAGAAGAGATGCATGTTAGGGCAGACTGTATATCAGAAGACCGTTGAGATTGGAAGCAAGAAAGTTGCAATATGTCTCTCACCTGGTCCCAATCCAACCATGCAACCTGTGGCAATGCGCCTCTTCTCACCAATGATAGGATAGCATCTCAGTAGTGTGACCATTAATCCCAGTGTATCTAGGATGATCCTGGTTTATGCTTGTTATCTAGCAGCCTTGCAGCTTAATATTGTTCAGGTTTGAGCAAACAATTGTCTGACTCCATCCCCCTGAGTCCTTCTCCAGATTATTTGTTCAGGATTTATGGAAACAAAGGTCATCACCCAGTTAGTCCAAATCCAAGGCTAACCTCATCTTTCTCTTGTTCTTCTAAAGCCTCAGCTTCCTTGAATGAGGAAATTCAGAGGACAGCTTTAGTGAGGCGATGGGAGGCAGTGATTAGGAGAAAAGTTCTGGTGCGAAGCTTCTTGGGCTCCAACCTGCTGTCTGTAGACTGGGAGGCTGGGAAGGGCACTCAGAGTTTCTGAGCTCCAGTTTTCTGTTGTCACAGTGCAAACAATACTCAGGCCCTTTTCTAGGATCAAAGAGGTCCTTAGATGACTCACTAAGCATCAAGTGCCTAGAGAAGAGCCCTGGATACAGGGCTAGTCAGCACTGCTGTTCATCTTGTTGTCCCCAGCAACACCCACCAGCTTTCTTCTCTATGTGGACATTTCCGTCTTCCTCTGTGTTTTTATGCATAAATTGGCCAGTTTCCCAACTGAAGGTGATCAAATGTAGGAACCAACTAATTAAATGCAAATGTACAGAGATGGTGCACACATTCCATTTGTTACAGCGAACAGGTCATGCTAACTGAGGCTAGAATTCATTGGACTCTCTAGTCCTGAAATACTTAGACTGTGTGGCCTGAACGAGAGTCAGCACATAAGTACCAAATGGTCAAGAATACCAGGCAAAACATCCGGCATAGCCCATTAAATGTGGCCGGTGAATCTCTACTAGTGGTTTGCAACCTTGGCTTTGTATCATAGAAACAGTAAAGGAGCTTTAGAAATATTAATTCCTAAGCCCACTCCAGACTAATTATATACATATCCCTGGAGATGGAGATTTGACATGGGTGTTGTTTAAAGCGTTCCATTTAGTTTAATTTGCAGCGAGGGTCAAAAGCCCCTGTTACAAAGCAGTGTCACTCAAATCTTGAATCTTGTTAAAATGAAGATCCCCACAAAACCCTGAATCTTTTTAGAATGGAGATTCTTGTTTAGTAGATCTTGGGTGCTAGCTGGAGGCTCTGCCCTTCAAAAGCATGTCTCAGAGATACTGATGCAGCTGTTAAGATGACAGTCCTCTGTATGCCTCAGGACCCTGGGCTCCTCCCAGCAGAGATGGTTATATCTGCAAGGATCCTCCTGCAATGGGGTGTCCTCCACGTTAGCTGTGAGACAGAGAAGGGCATCAGTGGAGACAGCCACCGTTACTGAATGCCTATGCACCTTCTCCCTCCTCATGCTTAATGTCAGCGGGTGAATATGAAGAGGGCAGGAAGAACAATGATAAAAGATGATGCCAGGTATTCAGCGGAAGCTTGGAAAGTATGTGATGAAGGTCTCCCAGTCGCAGGAATATGGCTCTGTGTGGCAAGGGAGGCCAATGCCCTTCTGCATTGGGTCACTTGTTAGGATCAGCCACCCACCAAAAAGGATTCCACTTCTATCCACTGCCTGCCTCGCAAACACAAGGTCCTGAGGGCGATCCTCAGTACCAAAAAAACAAAAAAAGAAAGAAAGGATTCCACTTCTACTTCTGGAGCACAGTTAGGTGGAACAGTGATTCAATAAAATAAAGAAGATGAGGATGCAGTCTCTGGCAGATCACTATGAGCTCAGCCCACCAGGACTGACCATCTAGATGTGCAGGAAGTTTCTCCTCCATCCTGATCATGGAAAGGGGCTATCAGGGCATTTCACCAAAGGTCCCCTTCTTTCCACTTAAGCACTTAATTTTCTTTTTCTTTTCTTGATGATAGGTCACAGTTTGCTTATAGCAGGACATGAGTCCCTCAAGAAGAAAAATCCAATCCATGAGAGAGATGACAGGCATTGAAAGGGCCTAAGTGACGCCAGTGTCTCCACTGCATGGGTAGCTGGAGAGGCGGTCATCTTGCCCAGGACCCATGACCTGTCTCTCTACTTTCCTGAGAGACATATGCCAGGGATAATGATATCTTGTGACAGGGTCCAAGACCATGGATCATTTTCCTAAGGGCACTTATAAGCTGAAAATTCCTCTCTGGCCAAATGACTTTGTGATGGTACCTTGGACAGGATAACATTAACACTTTCCTTTAATATTATTTGCCATAGATTACATTATTTTTTAAGATTTGAAGGCCATCTGGTCTACCTCTTTGGCTTTTGTCCATGAAAAAATTAACTAAGATCTCTCTGACTTGCATATGATTCCTGATATGTCATACTAAAATAATTTTATTGTGAAATGAATTCACAGGTATTCTAAGGCATGATTCTACTAAAGCAACATTTAGTAAATGTCAAATGTATAGCTCCTTTGTCCTTTTCTTGTCCTTTTTCTCCCTAAGCTCAAAGAAAGTCTGTTCTTGATTATTGCTTCTCCCTCTTCCCCAGGTGTTTCTTCAGCCAAACTTCAGGGTTTTCTCCATTTTGGTACTTGTACACTGTGAACTTAAATTCATTGACCCTCAAACTCCATTCCTTTTTCACCTCATATCCCCCTAAGCCATCTGTCTTCTTGTACTTTCCCAAGGTAGAAACTCCACTGAAATTCATTTTCCACTGAAACTCAGCCAGTGGTCTTCCAATTTTTACTTCAAAGTCAAGCAGTAGCTTTTGTAATTGTAGATACATAGTTTTAAATGTTGGCAAATTCTCCATTTTTATTTATCCAGTATTCTAACTACTGCAGTAATAAAGTGTATAATTATATAAATAGGCAATATTCACAGTGATATTGATTAAAACAATGGTTTATTTGCCATGCTGACAGATGAACATGAAGTATTTGGTCTATAACCTCTGTGGTCATCGGCACATCTGGCAGAGGATAAAGAAAGCACTAAAATAAATCAAGGGTGGATCTAACTGGTTAGATGTCAGCTTACAGACTTCGCACTGGGGAAAACTCTCCTTAGCCTAGAAATGTTATAGCAAACAACATTCAGAGTTTGAAATCCACTTTGTGAATTTGGTGTGGGTGAGATATATGATCTATCACTAAGCCAACAGTTTATGGCCAGAGGTAAATTCTGAATACTCAAAGGAGCCTAGAAACTACTCAGCTCTGTGCGAATTCAAAGCTAAGGACTCCACCTGCTAGAAGTAAAAACAAACAAACAAACAAATAATTTTTGAGGTATTTATGCCATGAGTCTCTGTAGAATAAAATGGAGCTCAACACAGAAAACTGTGGGAACAGTGCCTTCCTTAGTATATTGGTGAGAGTATTGGCCAGCTTTTCATTCTTATAATGAAATACCTGAGGCAGATGACTTTATACAGAGAAAAGGGTTATTTAGCTCACAGTTTCAGATGCTGAAAGTCCATGATTGGTTTGGTCTCTGGGCAGGTGGGGGCACATCACGGTGGGAGAGCAAGCAAGTGATTACATCTTGAACCAGGAGAAGAGAGAGGGGTAGGGAGGGCCAAATGCAAGCATTTATGGCATCTACCAGGGAGTCCCATGGGAACCATCCCTGAGGGCGCTCCCCCCACGACCTGAGGGTCTCCTATCCTATCGGACCTCACCTCCCAAGAGCTCGGCCAAGCTTTCAATCACAGTAGACCTTTGGGGGACATTCAGATCACAGGTACACCACAGCAGTGGGTCTATGGGTGTTTCTTAGTGCTCCACTTGGTTGCTCGGTCTTCAGTGGAGGGGACTCTGATCTAGTGGGAGGACACCTGCTTTCCTCCTCCAACAGAACTTCACACCATCACTTCTGCTTTCTAAGTGTTTGTTTTCTGTTGTGTTTCCTAAATGAAGAAGGGAGTTTCTAATCCTTGGCATCTTGCCTCAAAGGAGGGAAGTTACAATCAGAGTTAGACTCAAGGGGCTGGAAATGGTAAACATAGATAAAAAGAATTAAAGGAGCCCTCAGAGTGATTACAGAGAGGACAAATTTGAGAAGCTCTTGAATATAAGGATTAGCTTATTTAGCTGATAAATAATTCATTAAAGGCCCAAAATACACACTGTAGAACAGAGAAGATACTGGTATTGTGCTTGTAATGTAGAGAAGACCTAATGGAGAGGAGCTTTCACATCAACAAGAGAAAATAAGTAAAACATAAATGAAAACAATGTAAAACCTACAACACTGGATAAACACTAAGGCTTTGCTGGAGGGACTAGGACAGTTGGGATTGATGAGGAGTAGACGAAGAAGGGAAAATTCTGATCTGAACAATCCTGAAAGGGATGAAAAGGAGGATGATCAGCGAGCTGTGTGGTCAGGAGATAGATGGCAGACCTAGAAAATCAGAGCGGTTAAGAGGCCACAAAGTAGGACTTCAAGTCACTAGTCACTACAGCAAAATAAAACTATTGTAAGATAGTTAGTGTTCACTGTTACAGACAGAATCAATGAAAGTGGCAAGGTGTGAAGGGTAAATTAATCTGGAATTAGGAGAATTCATTTTTGTGATGATACCAAACCAGAACAACCAAAAATTTATCTTCCACAAGGAAGGAAAAGACATTGAAATGCCAAAAGTTTTCAACACAGGATTGATAATATTTGGCAACAGGCAGGAAGCACAATGAGCTAATGAAATTTTGTCAATTTCAAAGCTTATGCAAAGATTTATGACCATTAAATATGGAAATACCAACTTGTTGGCTGAATGGAAATCATTCTAGAAATTTAATGCTGCAATTTCAGTGGAAGAATGCTCCTTTAATGTTTGCTTACAAGAAATGGATCCATGTGTTGTTATTTTTCCACCCTCGTTGATTTAAATTGCTTTGGTGAGAGGTCACAGAACTGACCCCAATTAAGTGAGCATCCACTCTTCTTTTTCCTTTCTAATTTGCCATGGTCACTTGGCTTCTACCTGTGAACTCTTCGCATTGGACTGTGGATGGGTGCAGCCTGCAAAGACACACCCAAAGCAACAGCAGTCAGTGCCTCATTCACAGGACCACGTGAAGGCGAGAGCATCCTTGATTAACTGGATGGCCCTGAGCTGAGCACCCAGGGAAGAGAGCAGTTGGCTTCTTCCCCTTGCGGTAGTGGTGCCTGCTGTTTTCCAGAATACCTTCCCCCTACGAAGAAGTGTCCCCAACCTACCACTGCCTCGTCAAGTCAACATGATTCTCTACCCACATAGAAACACCTGCTAGAGAAACGCTGAAGCCTGAGATGTCTCTCTGTTCTTGTTTGTACAGGTGACAGGATGCTACCAAGGATGAAAATGGAATAATGGTGTGCTAGTTTCCAGCGACCAGGAAGGAAGAAAATGCAAGAGTTTTTTCTTATCTTTTATTATTATTTCTTTTGGAAGGAGGTGGTGGAATGACATGAGATAGTAGAAAGGCCCAAGGGTGATATTTAAATTTAATTAGAGGATTATAAAAGTAGCTTTATTTGAAGATTCTTATTTTGTGAAATGTTGATGGTACACACCAAAAACAATGCCTGATGTCTCAGCATTTTTTACCTGGGTCTGACTTCCCCAGAGGTGGTTTCTGGTCAAAATCTAGCCAAATACTGAGGAAATTTACATAAACTTGGTGTCTAGGAGAATATTTACAGAGAGAGAGAAACTCAGGATTCTTCTGAGCAGGGTTGGTGAGGACCTAGAAAAGAAGTTAACTGCATCAAAGTCATGTCAAGATCAAGACAATAATTTCAATCTCTTAGGTCTCCTAACTCTGGGCCATTTTTAAAAATAACCTAACTTTCCTAAAAATAACTATTTAGTAAGCTAGTTACTTAGATGTATTTCTGATCTATTTTTTTCTTGATTTAGAAAGAGATGGACACTACTATTTACCTGGAACAACAGCAAATTAATTGAGGCAATATTAATTGAGAAGATATGTTAAAAAATACTGGGAAATCTGTCCTTTTTGATAATAAGCATTTGGATCAGATATGAACAGTGAACATAATGACATTGTTAAAATCTCTTCCTTTCAAATATTAATTCCTGAAATAAAATTCGTACATTATACTTCTGGATGGGAAATAATATAATTTTAAGAACAGCTGAGATTCAAAGCTGATTGTCAGATGATTAACAAGGACTCATGAACCCTGTTTGAATTTTCCTGGTGGCTTTTTTCCAGACCTTCTTTCATAGGCATATTTTTCTTTCTTTCTTTCTTTTTTTTTTTTTGGTACCAGGAATCAAAATTGGGTCCTTGAGCTTGCGCAGCAGGCGGCGAAACCACTGAGCTAAATCCCCAGCCCTATAGGCATATTTTTAAAAGAGCACAAATGGCCAACGTCTATTGTTCAGTAAACATGACTGAGTCTTCTAATGCGCCATTAGGGTTATGTGGGTTGGAATGTGGACCCCAGAGCCAATTGTTCTTGAGTTTTCCAACCTAACTTTATACAGGAGAAATTTGGTAGAAATTGACACTAAGACTAGTCTAGAAGGGTTAGAGAAGAGGGCAGACTACTCCAGCAAGGCCAAGAAGCAGAGAAGCCGAGAGCAGCCACCTGTTCATCCCTCCCCTTCTCTGCTCTTGTGTACATGTGAGCCTGCAATCGTGCTTGGATTGAGCTGGAACACTGCTTCCTCCTACACCTGCTGCTGCCTCTTAACCGGTCTGAGCACCTGGACTCAGCAAGAGTCCACAAGCAGTTGTCAGGGTGGAAACTCCCCAAATGTGAAGCCTGCAGGTGGTCACCCAAATTTTCCACACCCGAAGATGACTGGGGCTGCATATTTCTCAGAGTCATAGTAAGCTCCGGGCTGAGACATGCCTGCAGATTTCTATTTGTGGCTTTACTGTCCCCTAAGATCAAATTAAACCTTGCTTGCAGCATGAAATGGCCACTGGTGGCCACTATTCCATCATCAGAAGTCCCTCCAAACCATCTCCCATCGAGCATATATTAAGCACACAATAAGCTGCTATAGTTTAGGAAAGGAAAAACAACAAAACCCCTTAATGAATGCTGATTAAGCATTCATTAAAAAGTATATAGCATTTGCTGCCTGTGTAGGGCTGTGTGAGGCCCTTAATAGTTGGGAAATGTCAATAATAGAGACGAAATGATGATACCAGCAATAATATTTGCATAGTGTCAGGTAATTTACAAGCTACTCTCACAAAGTTTTGTAAGTAGGCAATGTATTGTGCCATCATTTTACAATGAGAAAACCAAGCTTCTGACAGCGTTGAGCTGGTAAATGTTTAATAACTAACTTTCTGGGGAAAAAAAAATATTAAGCCCTAAGTTCAAAGCAGAAAAATGACAGGTGCAGAGTCACACAGGTATTTGACTCCCCAGTTCCCCTCCCATTTTTTTGTACCAAAGGTCAGTGCAGTAACTGGTCATCTGAAAGTCTTTGTTTAAGAAAAATGTGTGCACACCTTGCAAAGCTGGATAAGCAAAGGTGTTCGGGGTAGAAGGTGGGGAAGACAGTGTTCTCAGGTTGGAGGAAACTGCCCTGTCCTTGTCCTTGCAGAGGGAGGAGCACCCCACCCCCACCTCAGGCCTGGCCCATCCAAGCTCCTGTTTCCAGATCACCCTCTCACATGTGCAGCTGATTTTAAATTAGGGTGGAAGACTCCTCTTGCTACCTAAACAATACCTCCACCTCTTCTTCTCCCCGAAAGGGTCACACATTTCCCAAGCTATTTTGAGCTGCTCTGCACCTACTCGCCTGCAGTATTTGTCATAACAGGAAGCCGGTTTCATATACTGTAATCCTCCAGCACACGTTGCGCCTGCACGTGTAGCACTGAGGGGGCCAGAAAGCTGCAGGGCTGAGCTCTGAGCCGTCCCAGGGTGGACGTCCTCCCTGCTGAGCCCAAGAGTCACAAATCCTGGTTCACATCCAGACAGTCTTGTTTTCCTTCCTCATGCAGGTGGTGGTGAGGTTTTTTGGTTTTTGGTTTTGGGGTTTTTTTTTAATAAAGCATTTGAGTAGGCAGCAAAGCCAGTCAGAAGTGTTTATTTATAGCGGCGGATTTTCAATGCTGTATAAATTAGAAATCATTGCTGAATGAGGCCCGCGCCCACTCACACACGCAGGGCCGCTGTCTGGGAGTCCTTTCACACAGTTTGACTGTACACAGTCTAAAATGGGAGAAAATGACATGCTCCGAGTCAAATGATGGAGTCACAGCTAAATGGCAAGGCAGAAAACCAGCAATTATTTTTCCTTGGCACGATATGGGAGTACGGCAGGTGCAATTATCCAATATTATTTAACAGCACCAGTTTGTGGTGTAGGGAGAAAATAAAGGTTTCCATGTCTTGGAGAGGAAAAAAGAGAGAGAGAGGGAAAGAACCTGCCTCCCCGCAACTCCTGATTCCATGGATTAGGCTGTGTTATGTAAACTGAAACTGGCCAGGATTCCAGGAAGGGGGAGGGAGTCACCTGCCTCCTTTGCCGCCCTCCCCACAGATTTGCAAGCACCACCCTAGGGAGGGCACCGAGGAAAGGCCCCCAGCCTGGGATCCCAGGCCTGGACACCCTCCACTGAGGCAATGGCTCCAAGTGACTGAGGAGAGGCCGGGTTTGCTCCCTGTCCCTCTAGAGGACACCTCCTCCTGCCCTCTGACTGTCTCCCGCAGCTGTCCACAGTGACATCAAACCGAAAGTGGCCCACAAAGAACACCTTCCATTTCCTTCATGGTCTTCCCCTTTGGCCCCTGAACTATTGTCCTCCTTATTCCCAAGCCTTGACTTGAGCCAGTCCACCCAGGAAGACCTTTCTCTATCGGCTACCGTGAATGAGCAGGGGCTGTAGCTCAGTGCTAGAGTGCTTCCGCAGCAGGCCCAAGGCCCTGGGCCTCCCCAGCACAGCAAAAGGAAAAATGAATAAAAAGGAGCTACGGTGGAATGAACAAATGTTGTCCATGGCTGCAGGCCTCACATTGCCCAGCTCCTCTGGAAACCTTCTCTAAACCCTCACACATTCCACATCAGTGCCACACAGCTTCCCCTCGCTTGCTGAGCTCGGCTCTCCCATCTCTGATTCCATCATGGCGTGGAATCCTGGAAAGAGCACGCACTTCAGAACAGACTCAAGTTTCGATTCTGACTCCCTATTGTTTTATCTGTATTGAGGCTGGGGAGATTAGCTTGCTTTGCTGAGCTTTGGTTCCTGTCTGTAAAGATAAGATACATGATTAGATAAGATGATTTAAAGTGGTGAGTGAAAGTTCCTGGCATCCAAGATCCCTCATCTTGATTGTAAACTCCTGAGGCCAAGGGTCATCTTTATTCCCGGTAGGACTTAATTCCGTACCAATAGAAAGTGCTAAAAAATATCAACTGACTGGAGGAATATTTACAGCTCAACTTCATCACCAAATATCCTCCACCCTAGGCTTCCCCAGAAGCTGAGGTCTCCAGCCTTAAAGATAATTGTTTCATTTAAGATGCTCTCTCCATCTTTAGTACCAGAATCCCTATGACAGTGATGATCAGATTATAGTTTCAATGGAGAAGAATATGGATAGAATGGGACATAAGGTAGATTTTGACGATGAAGGAGGAGAAGATTAGGGGTGAGCTGGAGCATAAGGATTGCAGGCAGAGCTCTGAAATGGACCAGTTGGATATACCTGGTTACCCAGAGAGCCTGTGAGGAACTAGGGTGGGTCCAAGTCATGGAGAGTGATGCTTTAATGAGAACAGGAAGAACTGAGGACAAATGTTGTGCACCTCAGAATTTATTTTACTTTAGATGCTTGCAACACCAGCCTCCTCTTCCTAAGGGATGATGTGTGCTGTCAGTAAGGCTCATCCTCGTTTGACTATATTACACCATCATGGCTGTGACCTCATCAGCCCCTCCTGTATTCATCAGATTTATCACTGTGGAGACCCAACACCCACAATTTAAAGGTGGAAAAGTTTAATTTAGTTCACAATTTCAGGAGATTCAGTCCACGGTCACCTGGCCCCAAGGCAGGAATATCATGGTGGAAGGGCCCAGTGCAGCAAAGATGCTTGGTTGATGGCAGCCAGGAAGTAACACGGGAACCATGGCAGAGAGGAACAAGCAAGAGACCATATGTAGTATCTAGTTACGCCTCCATGACCCACACAGACACACCCAAACGTGGGCTTTACTAATCTGCTAGGCATTTCTTAATCCAGTGAAGTTGACCTATCAAGATGAATGGTCACATCCCTGAATGGTGTGATTCTTCACAAGCTATGGAAAGGGGCTCCACTCTTACTGCCACCCCAAATATCTTGCTAATATAAATAAAATCCTTTGCCAGGGATAAAACGTCCTATTTTACATGCAAAGAAACAATTTGAATACATAACTACTTGCTATTGGCTTAAACGCATGATCAACTATCAGTGAAGAACATCAAGTGGTTTGAAAATGTCTTAACATGGGAGGGGGCATGCTTCTCAGAGTGAAAACAGGGATGTTGTGAACAAAGGGGCAGGTTCAGAATGGGCCAGCAGCAGCCTCACTTTGTAATTATCCACCAAGGGAGACGCCTTGAGCTGGCTGAGTACGTGTCCTGCCTCCCCACTCCTGGCTGAGAGATCTAATAGATGCTTACTGTGTTCCAAGATGGAGGTGGTCAGTTAAAAACTTGAATTCCTTTGGCACCTGAAGAGCCTAAAGCAGCCCTGAGCTTCCCTGAGATCTCTTTTAACCCAAACATTTATCTTATCAATTAGTCACAGCGACTTGAAGTGCCGCAGAGAGATTGATACTGTGCTTGGGGGTGGGGTGCTTCTCATTCCCCATTGTACCCCCAAACACACAGAGCACAGAGCACAATATCCCATAGGCTTCAAATACGTATTTGGTCCCCAGACAGATTTAAGTAACATCCTCAGCAACTTATGGTAACATCAGAATTGAAATCCATATCTATCTGACCTCAGCTCCCAATGGCTTCCTCTCCACCAACAGCTTCTGATCTTTCTTGACAAATGTCCTCAGGAATAACTTTATATTTTGACTTAGTAAAGACATACAACATACACATATCACACATGCGGGTGTATGT